AAAAAAAAAAAAAAAAAAAAGGCAACATGTCAATCAACCAACCAAAAACTCCTCAAAAGGGATAACCCATAGGGCTGCACACATAGGTCCAACAATTAGGCTAGGCTAGACCAGAAGGCTGGCAGTTCAAACCCACCAGCCACTTCTTGGAAAGAAGGTTGGGCAATCTACTTCTGTAGTTATACCGAGGGGTCGCTATGAGTCAGGTCCGACTCAACGGCACATAACAACAACAACAGGCTTCTTCCTGGTGGCTGTCAGGACGGGCTCGAGCACAGCAGGGACTGAGAGGCTGGCGGAGCACCAAGCCGTGTCTCATTCTGTTGTACGCGGGGTCACTGTGGGTCGGAGCTGGCTTGACGGCACCTACCACCACCACCACCACCACCTGGCACAGGCATCAAGTCAGGCCCCCCATCAGCTCCCTTCTTAGAGGTGAAAGGAGGAAGAGAAAAAATGGCTCAGCACAGATCGTTTTAAACTTTCTCCACTTGGCAGGGATGCCCTCTGGATGGTCAGGTTTTATGCCGGGAAAAACAAATATACAATTTCAAGGAATAAAGTCCACCTATACCAACTGCTTTGTGTGATACCCCCAAGGGGCTTCATTACTGGCACATTTTGCCCTACTTGTCTGTTTCTCATTTTAATTATAATTTTATTACTTTTCCTGGTAACCTAATTGCAACTGTCCCAAGAGAACACAGTCTGTAACCAGAGCAGATAGGCCCCATCGCCCTGACACATTCAGAGGTCATCCAGCACTACTCACCCAACAATCCAAGGCCATCTACATACAGAGGGTGAGAAAGACTAGGATATGGAATTTAAACCAAAAACCCACTGCCTCTAAGTCGATCCTAACTCACAGCGTCTCTGAAGGACAGAGGAGAGCTGCCCATAGGGTTCCTAATGCTGCAAGTCCCATGGGCTGCCAGAAGAACAAACAAATCTGTCCTGGAGGAAGTGAAGCAGGAATGCTCCTTGGAGGCAAGAATGGTCAGACTTCATCTCACGAGCTTTGGTCATGCGGTCAGAAGGGGCCTTCCCTGGAGAAGGATATCAAGCCTGGTAAAGCC